AAAGAATGCAAAGCATCTCTATCAAGACAGTTTCAAGGCAGTCATCTTTAAGGAAAAGGACATCTGTTTTATTGTTTTCCAATAAAGTTTTTCCAGGCTATTCTAAAATCTGAATGTTTGTCTTGTAATTTATGCTAAATTTTAATTCAAATACCATAACTTTGGCCATATTTAAGTAATACTGAATAGGTTAACCTTTAATTTTTTTGAGAATCTTTATCTTAATTTTTTATGAAAGTTTATTTCAAGTGAATCATTAAGTGCAGAACCAGGTTAAAATAAAGAAAACATTGTTCCTTAATGCATTGTTACTTACCTTCCTTTAATCCTTTTTAATTATCTTGACAGTACATTGGTGATGATTTAGCCAGACCTGCATTCAGTTATTGTTTGAACAAACTTCAAAGTCCCTTTCCATCTTCAGTAAAATGGACTAGAGAAAATGGTGGAGGCACACCTGCATTCATTGTTCCTGGATACTTACCAGGAACCCTATGTGTGCCAAGTGCTGTTCTGGGTATTGGGATATAGGTCTGACGTGGAAGGCCCCTGCTCTCATGGAACTTCACATTTTATTAAAGGAAGACCGGAATAAATTAAACATAATAAAAATTTAGGTAATTTTAACTGCTACAAGGGAAGTGAACATGATAATGTGATAAAAAGCAGTACATGTGGCTATCCATTTAGATGTACGTGTTCCCAGTAAGAAACGATACTTCTGCTGTCATTAATTTAGCATATAACTGTACTCAAGTCATTTTAACTTCAATTTCCTTCCTAATTTCATATTAAAAAAAAAAAAAAAACTTTTTCATTGATGCACTCATAGGCATGCCTCTTAGGAGGAAGAGGCCATGACTGTTACAAAGTGAGCTTATTCCTGTAATTGTGCAGGATAAGATATAGTTCATGAACTCAGTTCCCTGTTATTCTGGCTGCAAACTGAACTGAATGAGAACTGTATCACATTTTCCCTTAAGATCAACAATGTAAATGTAAATTCATATTTATATTTATATATACTGGGGATCGAACTTAGGACCTTGTGCTTGCCAGGCAGGTGGCTTATCCTGCTGAGTTATATCCACAGTCCATAAGATCAACATTGAACCTAACCCTAAACCATATAATTCCCATTTAAAATACATAATTTAATGCCTTTGAGTATGTTTAGAGTTGTGGCATTATCACCAATTTTAGAACATTTTCATCACCCTAAGAAGAAACCCCATACCCGTTAATGGGCACGGACATGTCTTCCCAGCACTGCTCTCTGAGCTGTGAGCAGTTGCTAATGCACTCCTCCAGACCTGCCTAGACGTTCATATGAATGGAATCGTGAAAGGTGGGGTTCCTTATGACTGACTAGCTTCTTCTTTTACGTATTATGTTGTGCATAGTCATCTGTTTTTTTTTTTTTTTAATTTTATTTGTGTGTGTGTGTGTGTGTGTGTGTGTGTGTGTGTGGCCAGCTCAGCCCACCAGAGGGTGGGGCTGGCTGGCATGTGGTGCTGGGGGATTGAACCATGGTCCCTGTGCTTTTTTGCTAAACTTGTTCTAAGTAGGTGCTTTAGACCACTGAGCCATCTCCCCAGCCCCCATAGTCATCTGTTTGGTAGCACTATCAGCATTTCGTTCTTTTAAAAATGGCGAATAATGTTTCATTTTATGGATATGCTCTATCATTTTCTTGTCAGCTGAGGGACTTTGCGATTGGTTCCACTGTTCTGAATAATGTTATGAACACTGTACAGGTTCTTGTGTGTTTTCATTACCTTTGAGTACTGTAGCAGTAGAATTGTAGAATTGCTGGGCTGTATTAACTGTGTTTCAAATTCTGAGGAACTGTCCAAGTGGTTTCTAAAGTGACTATACTGAATCGTATTCCCACCAGCCCCGCACAAGCACTCTGCAGTGCTTAACACTCGTTAGTGTTGGTCTTTTGGGTGATAATCGTCCTACTGGGTTGGAAGTGCTGTCGCATGGTTTTGACTTGCGTTTCCTTAATTAAGGACATTGAACATCTTTCCACGTGCCTGTCGTCCGTATCTATAAAGTTCAAATTTTCTGCCCTCATTTTCAGGAGGATTATCATTTTGTCATTTTTATAAGCATTGTTCCTCTATATTCTGTATACAAGTTCCTGATTTGATACATGGTTTGCAAATATTTTGGTTCCATAGGTGTTACCTTTTATTTTCACTTGATGTTTCTGACTAGGACTAGGGCCCCTGGGAACCATCCTTAAACTTCACAGCTGTAAGAGGGTGCTGGCTATTCTGTTTAGCTCTTTAGCCCCTTTAGCTGCTTTCTGCTGGTTTTTCTAATGTGTCACTCCATATGTGTGCGTTTTAGGAGTTGGCAAACATCTTGAGGGAAAATAGCACACAAATTTTTAGGCAGGCACTTACTCCTTTTCCAAGACACATCCTTCATCACGCTGTTCCTGTGCTGTGTGTTCTGTTTTGCCATTATTCCACTCTTCTGGGAAGGGCAAATGCCTATGTTGCATACAAAGTAAATACACAGTACATATATTTAAACATAGATTGTTTCCGCTTTTCTTACCCAGCACATACTACATCTGTGTGAGTGTGAGTACGCATGTGTGCGTGGAGCCCATGTGTGCGTGCGTGCGTGCGTGCGTGCGTGTATACTTTTCTGAGGCAGTCTTGCTAACTATAGATTTCCCAGTCTGGGCTTGAATGCTTAGGGCACGCTCTCTTCCTGCCTGTCTCTAGAGTAGTTGGCACTTCCATGGACATCCTCACTTCTGACTAAATATCTTTATGCATCTTGCTGTTTTCAGTTAATACATGTTGAAAGTCACTCTGTACTGTACATGCTCAGAAAGCCTCCCATTTTTTTTGTGAGGAGAAGCATAAGACTCCATTTCTTAGATTGGTAAAAGTATTTTAAAATAGGTTTATTGTTTGTTTGTTTGCAGTCTTTATTCTATGGTTTCTTAAGAATTTTGAATATGAAATTATTGCAGTGTTACCTTGGTTCACAAAAGCTTTTGGCTGCAAACAAATTGGTTCACAAAAGTGGCAAAATTTTGCTTCCACTGCAAGCTCTGCCCTGGATGGCAGAGATCTTTCTCCAAATCATAAAATAGTTTATAATCTGCAGTACCTCTGTATTTACTTTTGTTTTAAAATCAGATTACTTGATGGCTCAGTAAAATAAGTGCTTCCCTGGCAAGCACAAGGGCCTGAGTTCAATCCCCGGTTCTGCCAAAATAAATAAATAGGTTGGGGAGATGGCTCAGTAGAATAAGTGCTTGCCTGGCAAGCACAAGGGCCTGAGTTCAATCTCTGGTTTAAAAAAAAAAAAAAAAAAAAAAAGAATAAATAAATAAAATCAAATTCTTCCCTTGTTGTTTAAAAAGTAGTACTTAATAAGTTATTACCTTAGAAAATTAAGCATTGTATATTGTCTGAAATGTAAAACAAAATTTGCCATCTTGCCCACTGTAAAAGTATATAGCTCAGTGGTATTAAATGCATTTATAATGTTGAACACCCATCAGTGTCACCCATCTCGTAAGTCTTTCCATCTGGTAAAACAGAAGCTTTACCTGAAACTACCTGCTGAGCAGTTACTTCTCGTTTCCCTTTCCCCAGCCCTGGCAACTGCCGTGCTTCTGTCCTTAGGACTTGGCCCATTTTAATTATGTGGCATACGTCAAATTGTAACTTATCTTTTTGTGATAGGCTTATTTCACCTAATGTTCTTAAGATTTGCCTGTTAGAACACATGTCAGCTGCCCTCCTTAAGGCTAAACAGTTACTTCAGTGCGTGACCATATATTTCACCCGTGTGCCTGAGGGCGCACTTGGGTTGCATCTACACTTTGGGTATTGTGAATAGCGTTGGTATAGATGTGGGTGTGCACGTTTGACACCTTGTTTTCAGGTCTTCAGTTGCTTGGTTGGCTGGTCTTAGTCACAGCATGCATAGATATTCTAAAAATGTGATATAAAATGACCATTGGGCTATGAATATAAGGCGCATATTTAAATAAATGTGTTTCACTTTTAGGTCGGGTCCCCTACCTATTGTTTTATTATGTATAGGTTCTGAAACCTGAAACGTGTTCTGAAATCCTTATATTCCACACATTTCAGATAAAAAGGAGATGGAGACTCCACATGTACTTAGTTTATATAAGCAAAAACTTACATAATTTTTAAAATTTATCTTAATGTTTGTAATACATAATAATTACATTCATCTTAGGGAATGGGTACCTATACATATTACTTTATGCAAATTTGAACATGTGTTTTACAAGATTTCCAAATATAATGGTTTCTTTACTGAAGTAAAAAATCTATTACGGCGCCAGAGGCTGAGCCTAAAGCCCTTTTTGCAGGCCAGGCCAGGCCGGGCCTCCACTGGCGAGCTTCATGCATTGCTCCTCTCTCTTTTAAAAATGGGGGGTCTGAGGAGACAGCTCAGCGATATAAGCACAAGGACCTGAGTTGGACCCCTGTAACTACAAGCTGTGCCAGCCACCAAAACCAGGCGTGGTGGCGTATGCCTGTAATCCCAGCACTGGGGAGGCTGAGACAGGAGGATCACTGTAAGTCCAAACTGGGTAGTGAGTCCAGTTTAATAATTTAATAAAATTGTTTTTTAAATGGGGGGTGGGTTTTTTTCTGGGATTGGTTTGAGGCAGGGTCTTAATCTGTGGGGTAGGCCCTTGAGCTCACTGTTCTCTAGGTACATCCTCCTGCCTTGGCCTCCCTAGTGCTGAGATTATAGGCATGCAGAAATGCACAGTCATCAAAATTGTTTTTCTTGACGTGAAAATTTTAAAAAGATTTTAAATAACAGATGTATGCTTTTAAGCCCTATGAAATAACTTGGATTACAAGAGATTTTCATGTGTTTGCATTTTTGAATTACAGAATATATTTCTAGAAGTTCTTTCACCAAGTTAAAGATGAGGCATATGCTTATTTTGAAAAACTGAACAAATGAGTTTTTGCTAACATTTTGGCTTCTTTTGATAAGCATAATTGGAATTAATCATTTTGGGGATGTGGGATAATATGTATATTTGACAGAATTAGAAGAGCAGACTCGAAAAGCTCTAGAATTGGATCAGGAACGAAAGCGAGCAAAAGAAGAAGCGGAACGACTAGAAAAGGAACGCCGAGCCGCTGAAGAGGCCAAGTCCGCCATCGCAAAGCAAGCTGCCGACCAGCTGAAGAACCAGGAGCAGCTGGTAAGGAGGGTGTTGTTCTGGCCCAGGAAAAAACTCAGATAACTGGGTGGTGTGACCCTCTAAAGCTAAGTACGGTACCTGCTGAGATGCACACCAAAGGGACAAGGAACTTAGTAACAAAATATGAAAATAAGCCCAAAATATTTCAAAACCCTAAAAATAAGGCAGGATAAAAGGTATTTTTCTGTGATCTGTCCAGTTGCCCAGAAAAGATTCTCATGTACTTTGACTTTGGCTGGATTCTACAGTGAGCCCTCTGGCACCTTTTATTTTACATAAATTGACACAATATTTTTGGGTCTTTGTATAACTGTATGCCAAAGTTGGTTGGATTTATTTATGTATTGGCTGGACTTCTAAAGAATGAGTCAGCAGGATACTGAGAAGATTTTGGATGCAAGTATTGGTTCAGGCATTTACTTGCTATGTCTTTGCATTTTATTCAGCCTCTCCATTTCCTTTCTTTGAAAAGAGAGATGATAATACTTACGAGGTTGCTGCAGAATAGATGAGATTTGACAAAGTGCTGTTAAACATTAATTTTAATTAAGTGTACATAATTTTATTTGTGTATTTAGCAAATAGTTTATTGATAATAGTAGCTCCTAAGTGATATTTTAAGTACCTTAGTACTCAAGATGAACTATTTGCTATGGAATAATGTTTACTTTGTCTCCTGTTAGCTCATTACCTGAGCTCATCTCAAGAACATCGTTTTCCTACAGTGCTATGAAAATCAACTACTTCAGACCTTCAAAGAATATTGCCTTTCTAAAAATGAAAGACTAGGAAAGGCAAAATAACCTGGGCATATACATGAAAACTATTTAACTTAACATATTACTCTAGGCAGCAGAACTTGCTGAATTCACTGCCAAGATTGCACTTCTAGAAGAAGCCAAGAAGAAGAAGGAAGAGGAAGCTACTGAGTGGCAACACAAAGTAATCTTTTATGTGTTCATTGACTAGCTTTTTTTGAATAGCTATTCCCACCCATTAGTGGACCCAGCAATACAGTGACTATATAGAGATTTATATCAGATTCATTATTTTGGGAATACAGCAGTGATTAATTGTTGTGGAAACAAGACAAGTATTAGGAACCCATGTACATTTAAGCTGAGTCTTGACTATAAATTAGATATTGGAGCTGGAAAAGATTGAGGGCAGTTAGGCGTGAAGGAGGTGGTCAGTCCCAGTAGAAGGGAATTGGAAACGTGTAGCAGTATGGACACACATGCTAGATTTGAAAGCAGTTGGTAAATGACCAGAAGTGTTGGGCTATGTGGCTGGTAAGTGGGATTAAGGAGGTGCGTTACGGAGGCTTGAGTGACCTGCTAAGGCAAGGATCTTGAGGGTGAGTGTCCCTTGACGCCAGGCTCCGCAGATTGTAAAATAGGATTGTAGCATGCTGAGTTAAGATTTTTTAAAGTAATTTAGCGTGGATGTTTGGGATATTAGACACTTGAGAATTAGAGATCCAAAATAATGTATCAGTGAAAATAAACACTTTTGGCAAGATTGAAAAGGGCATGGCAACAAATTATTGGTTATGAAGTTAAATTATAAGGTTACAGTGAAATTGGGGTGTTTTTTTTTTTTTTTTTTTTTTTTTTTTTTGAACTACATTCTTGGCTTTTAATTTTTTATTTTAAAATAGAATCTCACTGAGTTTGCAAGTCTGGAGTCAAAGTTTTGATCTTCCTGCCTCAGCCTCTGGGGTTATTGAGTGAAATTGGGATTTTTAATGAGAGTTCATAATAAGTGAACTGCTGCTGTCTAAACTATCCCATGAGTGGGCTTTGCACCCTGTGGTTGGAGAAATAGGTGTATAAGATCATAAGAAACGTTTAAGTGAGCTTTGTTTTGAGCTAGGGTCTTGCTGGGTAACTCATTCTGGTCTCATACTGGGTCTCAGCCTCCCAGGTGCTGCGATTACGGGTGTTCACCGCCGTGTCTCGATGAGATGACTTCAGCTCTTAGATGCAAATGGAATTGGTGTGCAGTATCATAATGGTAGTGGACTCAAGGGTGTGTAGGTTCATAGCTTTTCTACACTAACATGTACTTGTTCTGGAAAATGCTTTTCTTTGACTTGTGGTTGAGGTTTCTTTGTAGAAGTTTCAGCTTCCTTGGGTAGTTTTCTGGAGTGTTTTCTCAGTTTTACTTTTGGCAGCACACGTGTATCAGTCCGTGAAACAGCTGGGGGCTGTGGCCCACCCGGTAGTCCTAGCACTGTGCTGCCTGAGGCAGGACCATCCCGAATTGGAGCCCAGTGTGGGAACTTTAGGGATACACTGTCTTAAAATAAAAAGGGCTAAGGATAGAAAGAAAGGAATAAAATTACGCTAATCTCTTGAGTACGCTATTTCCATTAATAGGATTGTATAGATTTCATTTAGGGCTGATTTATGGACTTGAGGCACAACTTACAGCAACTATAGATTTAATTCCTTCCTATAAACTGGAAAGTTAGAAAATGTACACAAAGGAAAATTTCAAAAATTAGGACGTGATTGTGAAACATTAGTTCAAATCCTTCCAGGAATCTTTCCTGTTTGTATATTCTTACATATATATGTATTTAAAATGAGATCTGGAGAGATCTGTCCTTCAGTGAATTTTTATCCAATACTAGGCAGCATTCAGAATGTCTAGTGAGACTTACAGGTAGTTTAACATCCAAAGGGAGCGCTTCTGAGAGTGAAGGGGGTTGTTACCAATCATTACATAGCATAGCGGGGCGTGGTGGCACATGCCTGTAATTCCAGCACTTCGGAGGCTGAGGCAGGAGGATCGCAGTGAGTTTGAGGCCAGCCTGGGCTACATAGCGAGCTTAACACCAGCCTGAACTACATAGTAAGACCATCAGAAACCAAAAACAGGCCAAAAGAATGTACACAGGACAGCTGTGTGAACCAGACAATAATCACCCACATCATGGACGAAGTGAGGAATTTCATGGTGTGTCTTGGCAAAGATAATTAGTATCTAGTGAAGCCCCCATTAGTGATTTTAATTGATCATTGATTACAGTAATAACAGTGATCCCTCTATTGTCCGATTCTATTTAAACCATGTGGCTCAAATGTAATCTGTTATATGTGGCAGTCTTCATTATACTAAATAATTTCCCATCAAGCATCTGTAACAGTTTTAGCAACAGTGGGTAATCCTTGCGAGAATTAATTTTATTAGAACTTGCAAAGTGATATTTTAAAAAAGTGTTTTTCCAGAAAAACAGAGCTTTCTCCAGCACAGCCTGTTTTCATTACCCTGAAGTGTAGTTTTTGTCCACTAAGTAGGATAATTTGATTTTAGTTAGGAGTTTTGCATAGTAATTGCTCATAAATTTATTTTTAATATTCAGGCTTTTGCAGCCCAAGAGGACTTGGAAAAGACCAAAGAAGAGTTAAAGACTGTCATGTCTGCCCCGCCTCCCCCTCCGCCACCGCCGCCGGTCGTTCCTCCCACAGAAAACGAGCACGATGAGCAGGACGAGAACAGCGCTGAGGCCAGCGCCGAGTTGTCCAGTGAAGGTGTGATGAACCACAGGAGTGAGGAGGAGCGCGTCACGGAGACCCAGAAGAACGAGCGTGTGAAGCAGCAGCTGCAGGTGCGTGGCTCACAGCCGAGTGCGCGCTTAAGGTGCAGTTTATGTTCCCTCTGCCTAAGGGAGGATGTTGGGACACGAGATCTGGCTGGCTGATGATCGCTTTTTGAGTATTTCACCTGTAGCCAGGCTCTTTTGTCTCTTCTGTTGCATGGCCGTATTAGCAAGTGTTTGTTAATGAGTTGCTTAATTAGACGTTGATCCATTTTAAGAGGGAGAAGATATTCCAGTGCTGTTAGAAAACAAATCAATTCAGCTTTTAAACAGCGAAGTGTGCATTGAAATGCAGTGATGTTTAATAGACTACCTTTAAGACATAGTGGGTCCCTGGTACCATAAAAATAAAATAACAATAAGACATAATAGGAATTAGCCAGATCTTATAATGGCAAAATTTTCGTGTATTAATCAGATCAAAATAGGAAATTTTAACATAACTTTTTTTTCCCCCATATAAATTCAGGATTTTTTTTAATTAAAGAAAATGAAGGGATAGTTATAACAACTTTGGAGAAAACTTGACTTGTGATACAGACTTCAGATTTTGAAGCATCATTACTCTGCAGTCACTACCTTGAACTTTTTCTAAGGATAGAACGCTTCATTTATTGTTACATCGTCCTTGCACAAGGGCCATGCTAATCTTCTCTGTATCATTTCAGTTTTAGTGTATGTGCTGCTGAAATAAGTGCCACCTTGAACTTTTAAAAGATTTATGTATTTACTTGGTACAAGGTCTCACTATACAGCTTGGACTCAGTGATCTTCCTATCTCAGCCTCCCCAGTGCTGGATTACAGGCGTGTGCCACTGTGCCTGGTTTCAGTGGCTGGCATGGTTCAGGGCCAGCACAGCATGCACCACTGGGGACCCACCTGGCTCCTTGCTCTTGCCAGGCAGGCAGGTGCTCAGCTGGCTCTCCAGCTGGCTCTGGCAGAGGAGAGAGCAGCTTGTGGTGGGCGCAGGGTAGCAAGAGCAGCAAGCAAGCGGCTCATAAAAGCCCCACATAATGCAGCACATAAAAGCGTTAAAGGAAAAAGTGACAGTTACACTCTTTGTCTTTTAATATAGGCACTAAGTTCAGAGTTAGCCCAAGCCAGAGATGAAACCAAGAAAACACAGAATGATGTTCTTCATGCTGAGAATGTTAAAGCCGGCCGTGACAAGTACAAGACTCTTCGACAGATTCGACAAGGCAATACGAAGCAGCGTATTGATGAGTTTGAAGCAATGTGAGAGCTGTTATTTTGCATACATGTTCTTCATAAGCTGAACCACCAACAGAGAAAAGCAGGCCTTTGCAGATGTGATGGAACGCATCCTACCTTGCCAAAGCACTTACACCAGGTTGACTGTGGTGGCTAAAAGACAGATTTAAGGAGAGCTCTTCACCTCTAAGGCAGTGTGGTGTCGTTTTTTTTCTTTTGGGCCAGGAAATTGAGAACAGTGTTCCATTACCTCCATTTCCATTTCCATTTCCTGTTGTTGTTAACAAGTAACACTAATTATCATGTCTGAGAAGTGTCTGTGTGGTTGGAGCACTTTGTGCATTTTAAAGAATAATGGTGACTATTTCAGAGTGTTCAGGCCAGTCAGTTGCCTCTTCCATCCTTCCCATGTCCTCGTTCACATTCTCTCAGTGTACCCTTCCATCCTACCATGCCCATAAGCCTGCTGTCATGCAGGTCGTTGGCAGTGTTTAAGACAGTTGTCGTGGTTGGGTGGACAGAAGTCTTGACTATTGTGTAGCAGATGACTATAAATCTAACAGAATAGTGTGTGCTTGGTGGTTATTTTTAAAATCCCAATATAATTATTATTTGTTATTTGCTTAATTGTCATCTTTGACAGCTAAACTGATTACTGTTTCATGTCCTATGTTTTTTGTTTTTTTTTTTTTTTTTTTGGTAGTTTTCTTGCCACTTCAGTGGTTGTAGACAGAAGGTTGTAGACAGAAGGTAGTAGTTTCTAGGAGAGTTTATTGATGAAACTACTTGTAAACAAGTTATCTGTGAAAGATCCAAAAAGTTTTGTTCTTTCATAGGTTGATTTAGAAAAACATATCTAATAAAAAAATGTACATTTTGGGTAATTGATTATAATCGTTAAAAATCTGGACCTTCCTAGGAAGGCAGCATATGAAAACATCAGAGTCCCAAGAAGGGGACAGTAATACTACCTCACTACTACACCCACAGCGACTGGCCATTCAAACATGATGGAATGTGTGAGCTGACGCTTATACAGAGACAGCCCCAATCATGAAAGAATACTTTTCAGATTTTATTCTCCTTAGTGCTAAGTTTTTAAACTGCCTTTTTGTAGAGCTGAATGTAGGGCTCTGACTTGTATTAAAAGCATAAGCTTACACTGGTGTAATGTCTTACTGGAGGGGTGTCATGTGTCTGAAGCAGAGTGTGCGTGTCTATGTAAGAGATGTAATCTGTAGCACATGAAGAATATCTGTACCTTCATTTCTTGATATGATAGTTCATGATCCTTGTAGTATACTGTATTTGTTTTCTGTCTCTAAAAAATTGGGTCATCCATTTTAGAAATTATAAATTTATCATATATTAATTTCTATCATGTCTTACCTAAGAATTCTTTCCCCAGATGTTCTAATATTTTCTTTATTGTGAAACACCTGGATTGGAAGATATGAAAAGCCTTGTTTTCTCTGTGTGGTTCAGCTACTTTCCATTTGGTATTATGCAAATTTACATTCTATTAAATTGCCATTTATTAAACATTTTTCATGCACAGTAGATTCAAGTTGTGTCTGAAAATATTTCCCTTTTTTTTTTATTTTGCTGACTTTAAAAGGATTAATCTGGGCAGACATGAAAAGGAAAGGTTTGGCTTAATATATTTTTTGGACAAAAGATAACTGGTTAATCTTCACGTGGCTGTTGTACAGCGGCTGTGCACACCCTTCAGAACCCTCCCGAAGAGAATGTCTCTACTTGCAGTACGTCAGAGTGAGAGTGTAGACTCTCTCTTCACGCTTTCAGATACAAGTGTTCGCTTCTCCAAAGCATTGAAACCCTACTAGGAGAAAAGCATGGACTTTGAGTTTTCATTGACTTTCCCCGTTTTGAATTGTGTGCACTACCATTGCTACATCAGCTTGTTACAGTGTTGAAAGATTACCAGTTATATTTGCTGTTTATGATCTATTTGTAGATTAGGATTCAAGTGGATTTAATCCATTTTTAAAGCGTGTGAATTTTTCTAAACAGAAACAGCCATTTGCATATGAATTTTCATAACTTTTTCATTAGCATTTGAGAGCACATGTCCATATAGCAATGTAAAAATATACTAATGAATATTTGGTAAATTCCAATAGACTTTTACCATTAGCATAATTTTGTGTTGTACAATTCAGTTACAGTACATCTCTAATTTTGGATAATATTCAGTGGTTAACAATAAAGTGACAAAAAGCTTATGGCTTCAAGGTCCACTGTTGTTATTTAACATAAATTTCTTGTATATTTCCTGAAAATTATAATCTGTCAGAGCTGTGAATGCTCACATCTTAAAAATGAGAAGTGAATAGGGAAAAGCTTTAAAATTCTCAGAGATTTATTTTTCCCCCGAACTATACCTCATTTACCATGGAAATTACAGTGACTACTTCTGTGGAAAATTAAAACATTAAATTCGCGTTTTTTGTTTGTTTGTTTGGTTGTTTTTTTTTTCAGAACCAGGGATTGAATTTAGGCCCTTGCGCTTGCCAGGGAAGCACTTATTCTACTGATCCATCTTCCCAGTCCCATAAATTTGCTCTCTTGACAACAGAAAGTAATTTAGGATTTCCCAGTCATTTTTATTATGTAGTTGCTTTTTTCTTGAAGATGCAGAATCATTAGCAATGATTCATTTTTACTGTTAAAACTGGTCGTCTTTAGGACTGGGGAGATGGCTCAGTAGAGCAAGCGCAAGGGCCTGAGTTCAATCCCTGGTTTTGGGGGGGAGGATGGTAGTCTTTAAAGAATTCTATGCTGACTGCAATTATCTAAACATTAATCATAAATGCAGAAGCAAATTGCATTTTTAAAAACATTACTATTACTAATTTTAACAAAGATTTTTAAAGTGATAAATCTTTTCCAAAAATAATAACCAATCATGTTCTCAGTTTACAGTAAGTGATATGTGTCACTAGTCTATTCAAGGAAGATGGTCACCTCCTTGATCTGGAAAGAAAGAGGAATCTTTGTTTTGCCCTTCACTTAACTTTTCTTTTAAATCCAGAATTGTCATTTATAAAGTTAACTTACACTGTGCTTGAACTTACTCTCATCCTTAAGAATGTCTTAATATTAGTGCCAGGATTAAAACAAGAAGAGCTGTCACGTGCTGTTCCAGCTTTGACCACCTTGTTACGTGGAGGTGTTTTAGAAATAAAAACAAGATAAACTGTTTAAATCCCAAAGCATCCCACTGCATGCATACACAATAAAAACAACTCATCAGTTTAAAAAGCCTGTTTGATATACATAAAGAATTACTAACTTTAGTGTTATTTGCTGACCTAATTAGTAAGGCAGAGCTTAAATATCATTAATATGGAAATAGTTAAATGTGGAGCTATCCTGGTTAGGTTCTTAAATTTGTTCTAAAAGAGCAGAACTTTACCATGTTATTTTATACCATTTTAAAACTAAAGATAAGTTGTCAAATTCTAAATATTCTAAGCTGATAATGTCATGTGGAATGGCAATAATCTTAGTACATGTTGAAAGCTCAAAATTTAGGTTTTATTTTAAGAAAAATGTCCAGGCGTCCCAGCACATGGCAGGCTGAGTTAAGAGGATCACTGCGAGTTCAAGGCTAGCCTGGGCTGCAAAGTGAGTTCAAGGCTGGCCTGGACAGCATAGTGAAACCTTGGGTCATAAAACAACAACAAAATACCCAAATCTTCTGACAGCAGGTTTTCTACCCTGGTACATAGAAAAACATGGGCTCAGGTTAGTGTTCCATGTGTCGTAGTCTCATCCTTTGCCTTTCTAATTAAATGAATTTTAACTCCCACTTTTTCCTTAGTAAATCTACTTAATAAAAGGTCAGTTTTTCAAGAATTTAATAGCTATTTTCTCTCTGGAAAAATCATTACTGTTATCACTCCATACTATGCCCTATAAGTTCTGTGATACAGGAGCTTTCTATTTATCACTGCCTTAGGAATTTTAAGTATGTCCACTATCTGCTATAGAACCTTAAGGATCCATTGAATGGTACATCCTGTGAACTCAGGTTAATCTATTTGGCTTTGGAGTTCTCTTCAGAGTGGCTCTGTTTTCTTATTTAAAAACTTTAGTAGCCATAATTGTATTTATTAAGAGCTTGTTATTTTGAGAAGCCAGAAACAAGATTAGAATGACTATTTTGGCCACTTTAAAACACAGACTCCACATGTCTTAGATCTTTCATATTTATGTGCACAGTACCAGAGATCTTTTCAGCGCAGCAGTGCCATATGGTTGATGTGTGTTACTTGTATGCCCAGATTCCTCCATGCTTTCTGGCTGGCCAGTTGCTTCCATCTGTGAAGTTTATTTTATTATCATACTGATTGTTCACTTCTGGTTTATCATTTTAAAAATTTAGATTCATTTTGTTATTTATGCATGCCATCCACTTTGCTCTGAAAATAGTGATACTGACTTTAGGTCTTCTTTTTTTCTTTACTAAATCAGCGCAGCTAAAGGCCCATCATGGTGGCAATATGGCATCCAGATTTCTGAGGTTTATGTGACTATCCTGGGAAAAATTCTTTCTGTTAAAACATAGATTATATGTATGTCATGAGAGCCATTTTGTTTTTTCAACTGAAGTGTTTTATCTTGTTTTACACTTAGAAATGTGCATAGTTCTCAGAGTAAGGCAATATTCTTTCTTTTCCTTTCATTTATACTGAAAAGTATGAAATTCAAGTCTAGCAATTGAAACAGATGCAGCAGTTCAGCTTACGTAATTATTTTTAAATTCTAGCTGCTTCTACTAAAATACATACTTGGGGGGCCAGGGATGTAGCTCAGTGGCTTAAGTGCCTGCCTGGCACGCGCAATGTCCTGAGTTCAGTCTCCGGCACCAAAAGTAAGTAAATAAATAGCAGTTGTATAATGAAGGAAACTACAATATAGGGGAGAATAACACTAGGAGAGTGACTGGAGACGGCGAATGAACGTGTGGCGTAAGTCCCTCAAGTGTGCTTGTTCTC